AGGGAGAGGGAGAGGGAGAGGGATAGGGAGAGGGAGAGGGAGAGGGAGAGGGAAAGGTAGGGGGGAGAGGGAGAGGGAGAGGGAGCGAGAGCGGGAGAGGGGGCAGAAAGAGATAACGGATGAGTGGGACACTGATGTGCAGGCGGCGATAGCAAAGTGGAAAGTCAGCTTCTGCTTTGCTTACAGTTGCCTTATTTCTGCAAGACAGGCTCTCATACTCCAAGTTAGATACCTCGCCGGCCTCGCCATCTGGATCCCCACGTAACGGGGGAAGCTGCGGCGTCCGCGTGATCTGCGGATAATCCAATTTGCGCTCCTGCCGGTATAATGGCCACACAGTCCCCAGATCCCCACAATGAAGACCGCCAAAATCATGCATTTCTATCCTCTGTCTCGTTAAGCCGGTCAATGCGATCAAGGATGGAATCCAGTGCCACCTGCCAGCCTCTCAGCAATGATGGAGATATTGAAACAGAAGCTCGCTCCAAAAGGCCCTCTCGCACCTTCGTGCTGATGTGCGAGGTAAGCAAAAGTCTGGGCAGAAGCCTTTTGCTGCTCCTGGATCTCAGCCAGCTGTTCCGCCACCTGCTTCATCATGATCGCGGCCTGTCCAACACCCAGATGCAAGTGATCAGCAGCGGCTTGCTAGGCAGACTTTGCCAAACATACATGGACAGAACTCGTTCTGCCACGATGTGCACTGAGAGGCCCACGCGGCTACTCCACGCCACGTGCTGCAGCAGTGGGAGGAAGGACGCAAACAGCTCGCGAGGACTCCGGTTTGCAAACCGGGTAGTGTGATCTTACACCAAGACATGCACTCGCTCTGACGGCAAACTAACTGAGTTGCTTCATCCTTGCCTTGCAGAAGGCACTGGCGTTTCTTTTTCTGACAAGGCACCGGTGGCAAGTCCCGGTCTAGCCCAAACTTGTTGGCAGCCTGCTACTCCGTTCGAAGAGCAGTCGTGTGACTCCTGACGTCTCTAGAGACCTCTGCCGCATACCTCTGCGGGGAAGCTCATTTGATACAAGAACATGTCTATGTTCGGTTAAGCAGCCATTCCTTGTAGGTACTGACGTCTGCCAAAAAGTTGCAGGACTCCGAATTGCACAGCCACGGTTGGGAGGATCCTTGGCAGTCCTCGACGATCATTTCGAAGTTGCGAAGTACCTCTGTTGGATCCTCGTTAGACCGTACTGGCATCCAAAAAGTCTGATCGCAAGAAGCCACAGCAAAGCACGATGCAGCTCAAGTTGTAGTTGAAGCTCAAAGACGCTGCCTCTAGGGGTGTGCTTCTTCTGGCAGGTCAATCAACGAAATCGGGCGCTGCACGGTGGTTTGGGCATCCTTCCTGCGCATAGCGCGCCGAGCCGCGAAGGCTCAAGCGACTGTGGGGGAATATCTGGGGGGCGAAGTTGGCTAAGCTCAATCTCGCCCATGACCGGGTTACACTCTACCTTGGAGCTTCGGTCCGGTCGTGATCTCTGAATCCCAGGGTCCGGGCAACAAATGCCTCTGGTTTCAACGTAAGCTTCGTTTCTGGATGGCACTCAGACGAGTCTTTGCAGGGTGACACAAAAACCACTCCATAGCAGCCTGACATGCCAATGCGACGATGCCAACCAAGGCGGAAAACACATCCTTGCACACTGCCATCCTCATACTGTGCATTAGGGCGATTAGGGTGGGTGTTTGAACATCTCGCGCAGTTTCTAGCACACTGCCACCACTACGATGAAATCTCTACCTCCAAGAAAGCACCCCAATCTTCCAGACGCAGCGGCATGCCAGGCTGTGGGATTTAAACTCTGGGCTAAGACAAAAACCAGTGGGAATGCAGCGGCACTCTGCCGAAAGACTTCTTAAAAGGCTCATGGAATTTAGTAAATATGACGGAAGAAGCAATGTTATTTTTTGGGTGGAACTCATGTGTTTTTGCTTTGCTCTACTTCGTGCTCTCCCCCTTGCGAAGGGAAAGCACTGCAGCCTGCGAGCTCTTTAGAGCTGACACCGGGGCTCCGGTCGTCCGTGACCCACAGAGGAGCATCTACCCGAGTGTATCCATGCCCACAGGCCCTTTCAGCGAGCACGGTGAGTGTTAAGCCACAGCTGTGGAAGGCACACGCTTTGAAGCAGAAGAGAGTTTGGCTGTGAGACGAGGAGCACCAAGCATCAAGAGAGGTTCGTTAGCCTACGTGTGGTGTCAGGGTGCGGCTTTGCTGAAAGCGCACATTGACTGGTGACCTGGGAGGCGCTGAGGTCCAGGCAACTTGGCAGCAAAGAGCTCTGCTTCGGATCATGTGCTTTAACGGATGACAGTACATATCATAGGTGGGTAGCTTCGAAACCAGGTGAGCCCTCACTGCCATAGTTGACAGGAGTCTCATGGGAAGAGATAGAAGGTGCAGTGAATTTGAAGCACAGCATCCCCGGATCAGACAGGATGCCGCACCTCCAGAGCGCATGATGCAGCGGATTCATCTGTGCCTACAGGCTCAACCTAAGCAGGGCCTTCCTCAGGCCGCAATGATTTCTGCGGATATGACTGTCTCCTGCCAGCCAAGGCAACGCACGACGCAACCACATGAAAGCTTATCACGAACTGCTGCTGGACTGGTACGGTAGGCAGCCGGCCGAATGGCCAGCAAGGGTCTGCAGGCATTCGCCGGTTCTCGAACTCCAGACCCTGATCAAGAATTCTTTATGGAGCAACCGCCGACCCTTGTGCGCGTCGGCACAGCCAGGTTGCAAAATCCCCCTGCTGCCTTGATCTGCCTTGTCTTCGGCCTAGCTACCTCTCTGGGGCAGTGTTTGGTGTGGCTTCGTTTTGCCTTTCCCTGCCCCGGCTCCAGCCGTACGGCGCCAAAGCCACTTACAACCCCTTCAACCCATCATCCGATTTCTGTTGCGGTTGCCAAAGGACGGCACTTCGCTAAAGCCACGCAGCTCGAGTGGCATGCATGGGATCACACGAAAGCCACATCATCTCTTGCAGCTGTGGGCAAACAGATTTGCTTCACAACGCAGCACCGCACCGAGACTTTGTCAGATTCTGAAGCCTGGCCTAGCTGTCCCATCGTAGGAGGCAGAGGCGATGAGCATGCCTCACAAAGATCACGGCTTCCCCTTGCATGCACGAGCATTCATGTTGGCACTCGACATGACACATGCATGCTGTCGAAGTCTGCAACAGGCCAGTTCATGAGTAGCTGTGCTGCATCGGCTTCTCTGCTTTCGGTCTGAGTGTGATGCCGTCGGGCGAGAAATTAGCTGTCCTCACCCAATCCTCGTGACCGTCTAAGGTCATGATGCATTCGCCTGGCAAACTGACAGAACCCAAGAGAAAACTACTGGTGCGGGCTAGTGTGGACTGCCCAACAGATCCCAACAGAGTTCACAAATCCGCATTTCTCGACGTGCAGAGGTGCAGCCGACATACTGTTCCTGAATCAATCGCAAAGCCCCTACTTGCACCACCATCACACCATTTTTTCGTAGATTCACAGGGCCTGTAGTCGCACTCAGCAAGCGGACACACTCCGTGCCCGAAGCAACCAGAATCATGGCACCTGTCGAAGCTTGGATGCAGCTTTGGGTCCGACACATGTAGGCTCTTTCTTCACTGGACTGCAGACTGTGCGCTTTACAGGTGGCCCTACTAATTTACCTAACCACCACAGACGAACGGGGCAGAGCAAGCTCCGACATCCATGCCACACCAATACAATTACGAATATATTTCGGCGCTTCCTGCGACGGCACGGCATGTTCTGCTGACCAGAAAGAACCCCTAATTAACGTGGAGCAGCTCTCACCTGAAGGCCCTGGCGCGGCAGGCTTGGGGCCCATCATCGGGTCTGCAAAAACATCACTTTCTCTGCGATACTCTGGAGGCCCGCACCGTCAGGCGAGAACTGAGCCATATTCACGACCTCTCACTCGACAGCGTCGCTGGTGATAAGTAGGGGATCAAAATAAAAATGCACTTCGGGCGACTCAACATGCACCTAAAGAGCCCTGCACTGTCCACACACCCCCGACAGCAAGGCTCTGAGATCGAGCTGCTAGCATCTGCTAGATGCTCTAGGTGCCCAGCTTTGTTATCGGCATGAAGAACCAGATTGCAATCGCCTGCAGGCATGATAGGGGTCGGTCCTGCCGACTCGCCCAGCGAAGCATCAAGGATTTGCTGCGACTTTAAATGCTGGGTCTCGGTTATGATGACACAGACTTATCGCAGAAGCCTCAATAAAATCCAAGTCTTTACCTGACGAGCGAATGCTACCACGCAGCCTCTGCTCGGCACAGCTCAAGGGAATCGACAACATTCAACACCGTCCCGCAGCCTTTACTCTTGGCCGTGCCTGAGCCGGCTTCCCAAACTCGGACCGTCCCATCAAAGGACGTAGTGAGGTACCTCAAGTACATGTGCAGGCTCCTGAATCCCACTCCCCCTTGGCCGCGGCATGGTTCATGCAACACCACTGTTTCAAAACTGTCGCTGCCCCATGAAAGCATTGATCAGCCCAGTTGCAAAGTGTCGTCAGGTGAGAAAGCTGCACTATTGACAGCCTGGCACAGCCGATGGAATGTGGACGTCCAGCACTCATGAAAAGGTTATGAATGACTGACCTCAAAACCCCTTATCACAGTCCCTCAACAAAGCTGGCCGGGTCCTTGGCATGGCCCTGCAGAACTTGCAAGCACTCACCAGTCTCGACGTTCCAAACCTCAGTTTTAGTGACGAGTGATGAATCGACAACCCAGAGCAGACCGAGCTCTTACTTGCACAAGCTGCGGCCACGAGAAGTGTGCTGGCCTCTACACGCAGCTAAGGCCTATGTGCCCGATGCATAACTCCGGAGCCTACCATCAGCAGTAGAACAGCTGAGTACTCAACCCGCGCGGTTCCGTCCATTGACGCCGTGATGATGCGCATTCCATCATAGGAAAACATTGCAGACTTCACCTGGGAAGCTGAAAACACTTTCACCAGCTTGTAGTTCTCTTCCGCTTGGACTCACCAACCCCGATAGAGCACACCAGTTGACGCAGCAAGTAATTTGCTTTCACGCCATGTGCAGTGCAAGAGATAAGTCCTCTGCCACGTCGTCATGTCCAACCTGAGCAAAAGCTCTGCATGACGGCTTCATCAGGGATGTCTCGTCGCAGACAGCTGGGTCAAGCTAGTCTCAGCCTCACTCTTCGGATTCTACCTGTCCCTCTTTGACCTTGCTGCTAGCCCTTTCCCAACATGCAAAACACGCCGGATCTCTTGGTCACTGGCAAAAGATCGGAGTCTACTGCCATCTGCCGCCATCCAGAGGCAAGCGGTTCCTCGAAACGAAACAGAGCTGCAAGACAAGCGGCTCACCACCAGAGGCCAGACAAGATAGCTCCAAGCTAATCAGCTAATGACGATCCTTCGTGGTTTGACAAACATAGTGAACTATCCCTGCGGCAGTCGCACCGTCACAGGATGCAGTGACGACCAGTGAGGCATCCGGAGAGAAGGCAGCTGACTTAACCTGCACGAGCGCAGGCTCACTGCAACATCAAAGCATGTGCATCTGCATAGAGTCGCCCTTAAACAAGCAAGTCTGGCATCGTCATCATGTCCAGAGAGGACTTGCGAGCATTTGCCCGTCTCGGCATTCCAGACCTTGCATAAATTTGCATAGCATTGGGGCCCTGATTATGGACAGGTCACTTGCCTGGCGTTTGTAACCAGAACCGACTGCTCCAGACGGTGATACAACTCTTGCCAAATTTCAGGCTGACAGTCGAGCAAAAGCCTTTGGGCTCACGAAAAAACAGCACCCTGGTCAAGATTGCCTTCCATTACAGCATATAGGTCTGCGGGAACTAAGCTGCCGGTCCCAAAAGCATGCCGAGCAGCTATGGCGGTGCAATCATCTGATGCACCCGTAATCCACTTGCTATCGGCTGAGAATTCGCCCGACCTGAGTTGCCCGACGCAGTAAGCCCGCACCTATAAGCAGTTCAGGCATTCCCATCTTGACAAGCCAAGCCGCAAAACACCTCCTTGTTGCCCGCTGAGCTCACAAAGAAGCCGGCCACTCTCTGGGCACCTTTGCGGCAAGCGCAAGTAAGCACCCTAGGCCATTGCTGTGGCTGAGCTCCCTACCAGAGCTTCCCTTCGCCATCCAGCGACACAGTGAGCAGTATCAAACCGTCGTGTGAAAATGTCGCGGACTGGACCTGCCACAGCCCAAGGCCAGAGGTCCCCAGAGAGCAGCCAGAGGCCAGCCCTGAAGTGCTTCCGCGTGCCTGCCCTCCTCGTCGCGCGACCAACATCTTCCGGCAATCGCCACTTTGCAAGTACCTGGCAGCACGCGAACAGACGAATCTCCCAGGCAAGCCGCTAGCCCACAATTGAGGGCCGGAGGTATGGAGAACGAAAGCTCGGCGGTTTTTCTCTCCGGTAGATGTCGGCCCCTCTCCGGTAGATGTCGGCCCGGCAGGTCGGCGGGCTTTTATCCGCGGGCGTACAGTAAGAGTAGGAGTAGTAGTAGTA